CTGAAGCCCTATGTTCCACTCGGAACCCAAGGGACTAATAATAATAATAATAAACTAGTCAATTTTAGAAAAGAAACCATTTAATTCATAGCAATCTAACGAGAGTTAACTGAAATAGAAACCATCAGGTCCTTAGCATACTTAATTAAATTATTTCCAACAGAATAAGGTAAGTCATGCAAAAAGAACGAAAACTAAAACCAAGAAAGTACTGCACCTTGAGGCACACCAGCCTTAGTAAGTAATGAAGTGGAGCGCTTCACTTTATAAACAGTGTGTTGTTTCCTTCCAGAAAAGTAAAAATGCAGCCACTTTGTAACCCCTGACGCAGTATGAGTTATGGCAAGCTTCTTTAACAGAAGTGATCTGGGAACACAGAGTCAAAGGCCGATGAGTAATCCAAGAAGGCACAGGTGCGAGACGCGTGCCAAAAACATACTCAGACTTCTGCTAAGCGTATTTAAAAGACTCACCATTTTCTCAGTCTTCACCTAGCGCGACAATATCGTCTGCATACTCCACGTCAACCAGATGACTTCCAGGGGGTAGGTTCATTTCACTGAACTCAGATGCACCTAATTCTATCTCCATTATTGCGTCTACGACAACGTCGAGCGAGAATTGTGACAGTAGCCATCCCTAGCAGATACCACTAGTTGTCGTCAATTCACATGAAAACTCTGTAAGCTTTTACATAGCTGCATGAGTTCGAGTAGAGAGCACTGATTAGCGTACTGCCTTCACAGTGAGACAATGCCAAAAACACCTCACGATCGATAGTAAAAGGACGCCATCGGGTCGAGAAATAAGGTGAGTGTCGGCCACTGGCCGGTAGGTATGCCTGTGTTCCAGAACCCGTCATGGGGTAAGAATTTGGTTGATCCACCGTCGTTCATGTCCATCCTGTTTGGTTTTCTTGGGTTCGCTATTCTCGAGTTCCACTTCGGCGTTGGATAACTATGAACGCTAGGATCTTGGACACATGAGTCAAACTAGTCCCCCTACGGTTGTCGCAGGAAGATTTCTCTGTCCTATAGAGTGTGACGATCAATGAAGTGTGCTAGTCTGACGACACTACCTGTGATTCCTATATACCACCTAGAGTATCTCCGTCACTCTTATCAAAAATTTTCTACCTCCATTGTTGAAAACTTTAGATGGCAAACTGTCTGGTCCTGCTAGTTTGCATTGTTTCAGGTTCGATGCAGCTTTCCCAACTTCAAGGAGAGTTGGATGACCGACAGCTACTGAAAGGTGTGCCGAGTAAGTACATCACCTTATTGAAGGCTTTGTACTCGAACACTTGTGCGCGTGCTAGAACCTATAGTGAGATGTCCGGGGAGCTGTGCTCGTTGAGTTGTGCCCGTCAAGGGTGCCTCACTCTCTCCATTCCTATTCAATTTTATCGTAGATATTCTTATGGAGGTCTCCCTCTCGTCACCTGACCACTCAGAGGTTGACCTAATCTCAGCAGTACTTTCGTTAGACGTAGAATATGCAGATGACGTAGTCCTGTTAGGTGAAGACGCTGACAAGCTGCAGAGTCTTCTAGACACAATTTTAGAGTGTTTGGGATGCGTTTCTCACCACCCAAATGCAAATTGTTGCTCCAGGATTGGTCTTCAACGGTGCCCCACAGTAGCTAACACTAGAGAGTGTAGTGGTTGATTGTGTTGACCACTTCACTTACCTGGTATGTGTGTGACCAGCTGTGGTGGCTGGCTCAGTACTCGATGAAATCTCTGTACGAATGCGAGAGGCTCGTTTGACTTTTGCCAAATCACGTCATGTGTGGTGCCGCATGATATGCGATTGCCTTTTATATGCAACTCCCGACAATAGCTTCATTTTTTGACCTGAAATCGGCATATGACTCCGTTGATCGAGACGTCTTATGGCCATGTCTTACTGAAAGGCATCCTGAGTAAGTCCCTCACGTTATTGAAGGCTCTCTACTCGAACACTTGTGGGCGTATTAGAGCCTATAGTGAGATGTCCAGGGAGCTATGTTCATCGAGTGGTGTCCGTCAAGGTGCCCACTCTCTGAACAGCAGTTCGGTCTGTTCTACTGTATGGATGTGAAACATGGCCATTGAAAGTGGAAGATATGAGAAGGCTTCAAGTGTTTGACCACCGTTGCCTTCGTAGTATAGGACGTATTCCGTGGTGTCACCATGTGAGTAACGCAGAAGTCAGGAGTAGAGTGTTGGGGAGAAGAGGTAAGTCAGTTGACACGGTTGTGAACCTTCATCGACTGAGATGGTTGGGACACGTACTACGTATGCCTAGTCACCGATTATCTCGTCACACAATGTTGGCCGAAGTAGGTCCAGGCTGGAAAAAGGCCCGAGGTGGCCAGACCAAAACATGGCACCAAATGTATGAAGTCTTCGACTGTTGGCTTTTCTCATTTTCTCATTCTCTCTCTTCGTACTTTATATTTCTTTTGACTGAATTTTCTCATCTTCATCTTGCGCCTCACTGCCTTTTTACTTGATATACTGATATGAGGTGTGGCAACTCGGACCGTTACGCAGTAATTCCTGGTCCTATGTTGATAATGATGATGATGATGACGCAATGTAACATAGTTATTTTTTTCAGTAGATCAGGAAAAATCAACGAGAAACAATAGACAAGAATAAGTAAATGCAGAAATTATTAAATTGTACAAGTAGAAGTGAAGTTATGCCAGAAAGCCTCAGTTCCTTTATGTAATACGTAAACGAAAGATTTTTTCATGAGTCAGTTGGATATGAGACGACCAACAGAGATCAGATCATCGAGTGGTGTCCGTCAAGGTGCCCACTCTCTGAACAGCAGTTCGGTCTGTTCTACTGTATGGATGTGAAACATGGCCATTGAAGGTGGAAGACATGAAAAGGCTTCATGTGTTTGATTACCGTTGCCTGCGTAGTATGGGACGTATTCCGTGGTGTCACCATGTGAGTAACGCAGAAGTCAGGAGTAGAGTTTTGGGGAGAAGAGGTAAGTCAGTTGACACGGTTGTGAACCTTCATCGACTGAGATGGTTGAGACATGTGTTACGTATGCCTAGTCGCCGTCTGCCTCTTCACACATTGTTGGCCGAAGCAGGTCCGGACTGAAAAAGGCCCGAGGTGGCCAGACCAAAACATGGCACCAATGCATGAAGTGTTTGACTGCTGCTTTGAGCTATGTGGAGCTATGCAGACTAGCCGGTTGTCTGGTCCGTGGGATAAGTGAAACCATTGGTTGGAGACTATAGGTGATATGACTCAGAACGAAGTCAGTGGTGCAGATGTATGCACACATTATCCTCATCTAAACGCTATTCTGAATCTCACTATTTCCTCGTTTTTTCATTTCTCTCTTTGAGTACTTTACATTTCTTGTGACTGAATTTTCTTATCTTCATCTTGCAGTTGACTGCCTTTTTACTTGATGTAATGATATGAGGTGTTGCAACTTGGATCGTTACGCAGTAATGTCTGGTCCTGTGTTGATTGGGATTGATGGCTGGATCACAGCTGCATCCTATACAGGTTCAGGCTAGACGTTGGGAAACTGAGGTGTGTCTGAAGACCAGTTGAACTGTGCTCGAAAGTTTTCTGCCAAACGTTCTGGTGGCTTCCTGTCTTTGTAAGTTATCAGCATCTCATCCTTTTCGTCGATGGTTTTATCTCGCTGCTGACCTTTTTTCTGCGGTATGTTTACCAATCCTTGATAGTTGTCGCGTGTTACCTAACACTGATGCCTTCTCCGTCCGTCTCGCTTTCGCCGAACGCCACTGCTTGCTATCGACACGGAGACTTTTAGTCAGTTTACGTTTAGATTGCTTTCGCTGTTCACTGTGGTCAGAACCACCTAGAAGCAATCTTTTCACACCTGTCAGTTCATATGATATTGCAGAACTCTTGTGATATTTGCTAACCTTCGGGTTTAGGTTAGTTACCAATTGTCTATACTGCTGTTTCTACACCAGACGTAATATCACTCCAGGTTTTCTAAGAACGAGAATTGCTATCATACTGAAATAGATGCTTGGCTGTTGATTGGTATCCAGTCAATGAGGGCGCTTTCTGCTCTACAGTTCAATGCATACACTGGAGAGTTCACTTGAGCCAGCCATTGAGTCTCGGGATACTCGTAGGATGTGAACGATGCTTGGTGTACGATCTGGTATAAAGTTTGGGCGTTGAAAGCTACTCCATGAAATCGATGGAGGGGTCTTAGCAGACTGGAAATGAGATTTCGGCAGCTTTGGTCGTTGGCAATGGTTTCCAAGTGAGTGGTTGGGGAAGGTGAAAGTGGCTTAATAATAGTATCAGGTGGTGAAAAATGAAGAGGTGGAGTTGAAGAGAATAAGTTAAGCCTGATTGGGTCTTGTGTACTCCTGGAAGCGTGCAGGTGGTTGGCACTTCCCGGTTGTTCACACTGTAGAAGGTTAGTTCTTCTTGGAGTACCTGAGAAAGAAGAGGTAATGGGTGACTTCAAAGTCCATGAGACCTTTTGGCAACTTTGAGATTTCGCTTTTGAATCCTATTATGAATCCCTTTTGCAATCATCGGCATGCCGCAAGGGGGTAATTGTATGCTGTTTTGGGGGCTGGCCTTTTCTACTCCCCTCCCCGTCTTCCTGTTTGCAGGACAGCATCAGCGTGGCACTGTTGGATATCCGATGGAAACACCTTACTGCTGTCACACCCATCCAGCTAGCAGCAGTATTACTTCGCCCTCAGACCCCCATCTTAGTGTAGTAATTTACACTACAACGGTAACTGCTTTTCGTCTTACCGCTATCCAACAGATCTATCTGGCATGACAGGATTTCACGGAAACAAGTGCTTCACCAGCATAGCTGGATGGGTCCCGATATGCAAACTCGACCACCTCGTCGAGGTAGCCGTTATCGGTTGGGTTTGGTTTAGCTTATTTTGTATCCAGAATCAAAAGATTTCGTCCCAACACATTATTTAAAGGAAAAAGTTAATTCTTTTACAACTCGTTTATTGTTTCCAGAGCTATTCCAGTTGAAAATCAAGAAGCTATCATGCGTGTGATTGACAATGTCAAAATTATTCGTGGAACATATGACATAAAAGCTACAATGATTGGTGGCGAAGAAATACGATTCAAAGCAGAAGTTGATATCGATGGTCGTGAACTAACTAAACGTTATCTGGAAACTTTATCGTTGGACGATCTACTCAGCGTAAGTATATGTTCTATATTTAATCACTATGAGTCTGTTTTCTAACATTTCCCCATATATATTGTTTTCGTTGAACATTTAAATTATTACCCGACTAATGGTTCTTCATTATAAGTCGTCGCAAAGTGATGACAGCTAAATATCCTTCAGATGCATCCGTTGTCTCCACTTTTTTGGTACTTCCTTAGAAACCTACCAAAGAAGCTGATTGCTTCCTTTTTATTTTTTACAACTAATAGGGTTGAGTTGGAAAGATTTCCTTCTTGCTTCCTTTAGAACCTCTCTGTCAAAGACTCAGAGGATGTAAGGTCTAATTAGCAAAAACATGCGCTCGTCAAATGAGAATTTTTATTCTGAGTGCTACAACTTAGTTTGACAAAAGAAGATTGAGTTGTTTTCTGTTTTTTAGCCGGTATACTTATCTATGAAGTTGCATCAATCGTAGTATTACTTTGGTGGTTGATGCATTCTGGCAATGGATCATCATCATCAATATCAACATAGGACCAGGAATTACTGCGTAACGGTCCGAGTTGCCACACCTCATATCAGTATATCAAGTAAAAAGGCAGTGAGGCGCAAGATGAAGATGAGAAAATTCAGTCAAAAGAAATATAAAGTACGAAGAGAGAGAATGAGAAAATGAGAAAAGCCAACAGTCGAAGACTTCATACATTTGGTGCCATGTTTTGGTCTGGCCACCTCGGGCCTTTTTCCAGCCTGGACCTACTTCGGCCAACATTGTGTGACGAGATAATCGGTGACTAGGCATGCGTAATACGTGTCCCAGCCATCTCAGTTGATGGCAATGGATAAAAGAGACCTGTTTAACATTTGCCTAGCTGCATCGTTTATGACACACTGGCTAGACATTTAAATAATGATCAAAAACTATTTACTGTACGTTATATTTAAACCTTATTTTTCCTCACTATGTTCAAAGAAAGCTATATATATATTACTGGTGTTATTTCTGGAGAGGAATCGCTGAAAGTGAACATTTTCACATGAATCTTCAGTATAAATATGATCAAACAGAGTTTCAACCTTCGACACACTGATTGAAATTTTATTATTTGGATCAATACTGTAAACTGCTATTTTAAATGTCAAATGTTTCTGCTAATGGATAACTGAAAGTTAATGTTTAATATTTTCATCAAATATAGTTGTCAGTTGACTTGCTAGCTTTACAGTCTACTTGCAACTCTATAACACACGCTTGATCAGTCCTAAGTATTCCATATTAAGTGTTTCCAATAGCTCACTAGTGACTCTATGTTATTGCTCTGTCATTTTATTCTTAAGTGTATACTTTGCCGTACTGCGTATGATTCCACATCATTTTATTAATGCGGGTAGACATCAACTCCCGACTGATAGTTGCTACCTTGACATGGTGGTCGGGCTTGCACACCGCAGTGACCCAACGAGTTACGGTTACAAACGCTTGTTCCTCCAAGGTCTCACCATACTAGAAAGGCTTGTTAGATAATGGTAAGCAGAAAAGCGGCTACCGGTATAATGTAAATTACCACACTATAATGGCGGTATTAAGGGAAAGTCGTACTGTTGGCTGGATAAGGTGTGACAGCAGTTAGGTGTTTCCCACAGAAGACTAGTAGTACCATACTGATGCTGTCTTCCGTGTGGGAAGGGTGGGTTAAAAAAGATTGGTTCCCGAAATAGCATGCTCCTCTCTCCTCTATGGTCTTCTAGTGCCGGCGATATGGGTTTTTCGTATCCGGCGTTCGAGAAATCAGATCTCATACGACAATCCTCCATAGGTTGTGTGTGACAGGTCTCAAACAGATGTCCCATGAGTTCTGCGGTCACACAGATCTTTTCCCTCTTGTCTTTTAGGTTCCTTGCCGAAACAAATCCCAGTAGTACACAAAACCCAATTAAGCCTAACTTACCCTCCTTACCTTTGTATCTTTCTTTGCCTTCACCTCCTGATACCAATATTAATCCCCTTACACCTTTATCAACCTCATTCTGCGACCACTCCCAACGATGAAAACTATCAAAGCCTCTTTCCTGTTCTTTTAAAACCCCGTCATCGATTTCATGTAGAAACTTTCAGTGTTCGAACACTATGCAATCAGACAGTAAGTATCGCCCGCCGAAACTGGGATCTCTAGCCGCAGATGTATGCTGTGTCTCTGAAACACGTTCACAGAACCCAAGCGTTGTTATTAAAGTGAACTCATCTGGTCATTGTGGTGAGTCTTCGAAATCCACCTAATGCGCTACCGGAGACCGGCTATTTCTTATGAACTCGCCAATGTAGACATAGCATTTAGTAAATGCGCTTCTCGACTGAATACTAGTCGACAGCTCCATGTGTGCTGTTCTGTTGATTACATCTGTAAAAACTAGAAAGGGTTGTGTAGCCGACTGATACCTGTTCGTAATCTCCCCCTTACCGACTGTAGTTTGAATTATCCAAAGAGTGATTTCTAGGTAAAGCTGTCAGTTCTGCTACAATAAGCAAAACGTTCATATGTAGTCATAATGGCAGGTGAATTTAACGCTCATGAAGGGAGTCCGAGGCGGTCACAAAGGCATATAAGAAGTATATACGGTATCCCATCCCAACGAACTGACAATGGTGATCATCTGTTGCAATTTTGCTTCGAAAATCACTTGTTTCTGCCCAACACTAACGTTAGGCATAAGGCGAGACACTGTATCACATGGCGTCCGCCAACTCCAGACCAACGATGAACACAGATAGATCACATTGCTGTACGCCATCGTTGGAAGATTACCGCTCTTTGCTGAGTACCTGTTTAAACTGTAATCATGTATAAGTCCCGACACTTTTGTGTCTACGCTTTGCTGGTTGTAGGAAGCGGGTGGCAGTTAAACCTGTCTGTATTCATCCTGGTTAAATCTCGCTTGATATTCATTCTGCTGTAGAAAGGCGGTTGCTAACCTGCATCCTAAGGTCAGCAAACGTGAACGGATTTCTGCAATGTCATCTGAACTTTGAGAAAACATTCCAGTTGGTTGTGATCACAGTGAGGAATGAAAGCAATTTAGATGTAAATTGAGTGAAGAGTCTTTGCAATGATCGCGAACATTGGTTGTTAAGGAAAGCAAAGCGATGGAGAAGGCATCAGCATTAGATAATACATGGGAATTATTTAGGCTTATCAGGGATACTGACAAGAAAAAGATGATGGTTAATGAAACCATCACCGAAAAGGATGTTCCCCTGATAACCTTTCCCATTAGATGGCTAGAACGTTGAGTGGGACATTTTGAAGCCCAGTTCAACTGATCCACAGCAACCTTTCGGTTTCCCAGCCAGTAGCCAGCCCTGACCTGAACGGGACATAGATGTTGGTCCTCCTGCTCTCGTCGAAATTGAGAAGGTTGTTTCGAACTTGAAACGATGCAAAGTAGCAGGGTCTGATGACTTGCCATCTAACAACTTTAAGGAAGGTAGGGGATTTCTGAGAAGAGTAATGGAGGTACTAAGTAATGTATTGGAATCAGTGGTAGTCCCGTCGGACTGGTACATTTTGCTGATCATCTCAGTTTATGGTAAGGGAGAAAAGTCTTCCTGCGACAACCGTAGGGGAACCAGTCTGACTAATATCGTGTCCTAGATCCTTCGGTCCATAGTTATCCGACGTCAAACTGGAGTTCGAGAAGACCAGACAGATTCCAGATCTAGACGGGCGTACATCAATCAGGTTTTGACCCTCCATCCAGCTATAAAACACGAGCACACTTACTGACGACTGGCATTTGACAATTTGCGTTATCCCTGGCATCGACTGCCATAATATCCGATTATTTGTTGAAGGATAATTATAATATGTTGCAGTTCTTTTTCTCCTGTTTTGCGCCTGTGAAACGGCCGTTAAAAGTAGAAGATATGAAAAGATTGCAGGTTTTTGACCATAGTTGTCTTTGCAGCGTTGCTGGTATATGGCGAAGTCACTATGTGAGTAATAACGACGTTAGACGAAGGGTAATAAGTGAGACACGCAAGGGAGTCGACGAGTTTGCGAACCTTTATCGACTGATGTGGCTTGGACTTGCATTGCACATACCGAGGCATCTCCTGGACGTACAATGCTAGCAGGAGTTGGATGAATCGTTTATTCCTTAATGTTTCCTGTTTGCATGACACTGAGACATTTGCTAACTGAAACCCTAGCTTAGTGAACAATCCAATCTGAACAGCATCTACACCATGAGCTCTATTTTTTTCTGCCATGTGCACATTCGCTCAATCCCGTCATTGTTATTTGTGTTTTCTATTCCTGGGCTGATTTATTGATTGTCGGACTTGTTTTAAAGTTTGAGTCGTGTTTCTCACTCAAGCCTTTTTAATGTGGAGATTTTTCACCGTGTGTCATTATTCTGCATCAGAATGATTCTTCACCCACTATAATGAACGACAGTATGTGAAATCATAAAATTCAACTATCTTAATAAAGTCATCTTTAATCCAAGTTTGAAAATCACAACCATAATCTCCAGTCAGTATAGAAGTGGTTTTTCGAATTCCCTTATTTTGTAGGAAGTGAAAACATCAAAACTGAGCAACAACTGGCTCACTTTATGCTTAAGCATGGCGATAACTTGGTGAACACACTTGGAGCCGAAATCAATCAAATTGAGGAAAAGATAAAGGTATTAGTAAATGTTCTCTTCCCCTTGTTTTTCCCAGTTCATATAAATGTTTTAATGTAATTTAGCTGTGTGTATCAGAAATACTGATAAGAATGGTTTAGCTTTTCACAGCAGTGAGGTCAACGTGTGTACAGTGGCGAACTCGTGACTATTCTCAGTTAATGCTTTTCATCACCTTGCCTAACGAGTTTAATGACATTTAGACAACCTGTCATAGGTTAATAGCCTTCCGTTTTCACTGTTGAGTTCTTATCATTCTATGATTAGTCGTGCTGGCTACTTTGGCAATTTGTGTATGCGCTTGGATGCTGTGGTGGAGATTTCATCTTACCTGTGGCATTAACATATTTATCACATCACTTTTTTTATGCGTAGTACTGAAAAACTTACCGTTCGTTTATGTGTAATCTACAGCTATGTACTTCTAATCAACAGTGCCATACCTTTGATGGTCCGAATACTTTTATCACCGTCAACCTTACACGGCTTCGTTATACAGTAGTATTCCGTTGTTTTGTAATGGAGATTTTTTGATATTTCCTAGCACCAAAAGAAGCGTATCTTTTGCAAATATTCTTGGGACACTTCTGAATTGTCTTAAGTGAACTCTCCAAACTGTCAAATGAAGAATCAGTAATCTCCGGTCTCGCAGACGACAACCACGAGCATACTGAGAAAGTGGCTATCATGATGTCCCCAAGAGCTCTCATACAGTGGAAACCAATCTCCTCCAGGATCATGACTGCAAGATTCAAATGAAAAGGAAGGAAAGTTACAGTCATACAATGCTACGCCATGTACCTACAAATAATGCAGCTCAACAGAAGTAGGAAGAATTCTACAGACAACTGCAATCAGTACCAGATAAGACTCCAGTTGGCAACATCAAAATTCTAATGGCCGACATGAATGCTGAACTCGGAGCAGATAACACAGGAAGAGAACTAACCATGGGTCGAGAAGCGCTCGGTGAGGTGATGAACGAGAATGGAGAATTGTTTGCAGAATTCTGTGCATTCAACGATTTGGTGATTGGAGACAGTCTATTCAAGCACAAGTATATCCACAAAGCGACATGGACTTCACCAGATGGACACACTAAAAATCAAATCGACTTTATCTCAATCTCAAGAAAATGGAGACGCAGTCTACTTAACACAAGGTCAAGAAGAGGAGCAGATGTAGGTTCAGACCACTATCTAGTGCAAGGAACCTTCCAAATCAAGTTAAAAGCCTTCAAGGAAGCTGGTGATAGACCTCAATTCAAGTACAACACTCGGAAACTGAAGTACGAATCTACAAAGGAAATCTTCACATCAGTCAGCCATCAAGACAAAATGGGAGATATCGAACAAAATCCCTGAATAAACCTGTGTGGATGAGCACTGGAACTCTTTGGAAGCTATGTGGAAAGAGATCTTCATAACCGTATTAGAAAGCAAGAAGAAGCGGCAAAACAAGGAATGGATCTCGACGGACACATGGAAGCTGATAGAGGAGAGGGAGGAAGATGGTGAAGCAGAAGATGAACCAGTGCAAGGATAAACGACGAGAAGAGGAACTGAGTACAGCCTATAAAACACTACACTGGACAAAGAAGTGAAGAAGAGTGCACGGAAAGACAAAAGACACTTCTGCAACACCGGCAAGTGAAGCAGAACAGGCTGCTGGTTGGAGAGGCTGAGACCTGACAACATTATATCAAATAACCAGGTTACTATCTAGAAAAGAGATGAACACAGATGAAACCAATGAAAGATGATGAAGGAAATCTAATTACCAAAGAAGAGAAACAAAGGAAACGATAGGCTGACCACTTCAAAATGCTCTTGAATCGACTACCACCACCTGCAACTCGTCCAGAAATACCACCAGCAGCCGCAAAACTTCAAGTGAACACAAATCCTCCAACAAAAGTCGAAGCCCTGAGCGCCATAATGCTACTGAAATGTAGGAAAGCAGCAGGAATTCCTCCAGAAGCACTGAGAACAGACGCAGAGATAACATCGAACATGCTCACACCACTACTGCAGAAGGTCTGCAAGGAAGGAAGGAAGGAAGGATGGAAAGGTACCTGCCAACTGGTTGGAAGAAGGGATACCTTGTCAAACTCCCACAGAAAGGAGACCTAAGTCCTTGCGAAAACTGGCGAGGAATGATGCTGCTCTCCCCCAGAAGCAAGCAAAATATTAAGCCGCATCACCCTGGAGAGACTAAATGATGCTCTGGATTCAAAACCACGACCCGAACAGGCTGTATTCAGGAAGTACAAATCATGTGTGGACCAAATTGCAACGCTACACTACGCATCATCATAGAATAGGGTATAGAATGGCAGTCAACTCAATTCTCATTCTCAATTTCATCGACTTTGAAAATGCCTTTGACAGCGTCGACCGAGGAGTAATTTGACTGGCAGATGATTCAAGACTACGGAATACCACAAACCTTTATCAACCTCATTCAACATGTATTTGACGACGCGACATGCCAAGTAATTCACAATGGGAAGTTCAGTGATGCCTTTGAAGTGAAGACAGGGGACAGGAGTAAGACAAGGCTGTCTACTACCACCGATGATCTTGCTGTCTTAGATTTACGGTATCTTTCAGCCGTGAATCGATATAGCCCATTCGTCCTTTGTTAGTGCCTATCACTGGAAATGGTCGCCGTGTTGCACTCAGTTAATCAACTAAAAATCAAACTATTGTCATGCTCTTTTCCACACTTTTGAACTAAGGTCACGGGTTTGAGCGTCCCTCAACTTGCCGAAGTTCGGGCAGCCAGGTAGTATCACTGGCTCTCCAACGATATGTTGTGGTTCATTGCCTATTGCACGATAATGCATAAGGATACTGAGCTGATTTCATTCTTGAGCTAATCTGTCTAAACTGGTTGGCATCTCAGTAAACTGAAATAATAATGAGCGCTTTCTCCATAGCATAAACTTTCATTCATAAATCCACATATCCATTAATATGAAGATTTTTATCATTTACCTTTAGCATGTTGTAAATATCCGCATCCTACACCGTTCAGTATAATTTAAAATGAACAGAATAATGGGGTTTTTCTTCTGTATCATCAGTTAATTTGTCATAACTAATTTATATTTCTTTTGTAGAAAAAATTTCCAAACGTAACTCATATTGATATTGAGATCAACTGATATCTAATTCATTTAAATCCCGAAAGTGCTTTTGTCATTCAACTTGCCCTTCTCGCTGTATATTTGTAGCTTCTCTGTGATTTTCACTGTAAATTGTACTGTAAACGTAAGATTAAAAATGTATATATATGCAGAAATTTGGAATGCTGAATTCACAAAATTTCACATACGATTCTTGTCAAATAAATGTTTTTGGAAATAAAATTTGTGGTGCTTCAATGATAATAATAATGCGTCAGTAGTTACAGTTGGAACAAACTGTGGATATAAGCATTAGCTTGTATCATAACAGAAATGAACGATTGTTAAAACTAGTTAGGTTATTGTTATCGCCGCTAATATACTGTTTTAAAATCGAATTTTCAAGAGTTGTCCGCACCCAGTATTCAATGAAGCCTATAACTCATGATCAAACAGGAAAAATAAAATTTGTGTATTTATATTGTCTCAATAATAATAGTTATCATAATCGCTTTATTACAGACAACATGTGTGATACAATGCGGAATTCTCAGCATTTGATATTTCAACAAACATTCTCTGTCCAATATTTCTAAATGAAATAATTATTTCACATTAGCTTCCGGTCTGGACTGGCGAATGAATAGAAAATAGAGCGGTAGTTCCGTCAGCCAGCATAAAAATCTGCGATTTGGTATGAGTACTGTACTACAGGGATACCGATGTGCTCTATTTCCGTGTATTTATAAGTACATTTCTTGTTAGTGTAACCTTTTTCCTTTGTTTTATTGTTGGTTCGAAAAAATTTGAAAATATTTTAAAAACGTGCGGGAACACGTGACATGTTTAAAAGACAGAGGATTTTTAAAACATTGAGAGGGAAGAACTTTGGTGATGAGAAACCTTTAATGACGACCAGTCAGACTGAAGATGCTATAACAATAGTAATATTTATTTCGAATAATAAATTATGCGAACACATGCAGTTTTTACAGGTAATATCTGGATGTCGTTGTTCTGAGTGATGCTGAGAAAATTTAAAGAGAATAAATCATCACACTATACAGAGGATGTAATTATTCGCATGTTGTTCGTCACAAGTATTAGATAGCACTTTCGCTAAACAACAACAGTAAATGGTAACACGGGTATTGTCACCCATTATGGGCTTTAACCAGGCAATTGTGATAAGTCTCAACACTTCAGTTGATGAGTAGCATAAACGGTAAAAGTAAACAGAATAACAAACGCTGAGCATAAATAAAGCCGAAATAAGCTAATATTCAATAAACTCTTGCTGTTTACAGAGAGCATTTAGAGCTAGATTTAAGTCCTGGTATGGACCGACAACAAAGCTTGGGATCGGCATCACAAGGTGTCAGGCAGCATGTAGTGATTGTTCAGGTCTATGTTGTTGGAAACAAATTCATTGAGATAAATTAAGCTAGAGCTGCGATTCAATTCAGAAGCTGTTGTCGTTTTACGAGCCACGATAGTAAGGTTTCATCATTAAACTATTCAATGTCCTCAAGGTCGGCGCTTCATATGAGGTCTGTTTCGGTTTTCTTCCTTACGAGGTGAGTAGCTCTTTTTAGTCGCAGAACCTGTATGTTTGGATACAAGCGGCATATAGTGCCAACATTTCTAGATACAATCCCAATTGGAGCCATAAATTCGGGGTGAACTGTCAAAATAATTGTTATGCAGCTGCTGCATTGTGAGTCTGCATATCAGAAAGAAAGAAAAACGCGGGTATCGAACAATTTATCATCTGCTTAAGTCTGTGTAACAAGATGTGAGCAAAATAGTCGAAGAAAAAGAACCCAGATGCAGATTTAACAGTTGTTGCACAAAAATGTGTCTTACCAGTAATAAAACTATGGTAAAACAGTAGCCAGTGACTTTCAGTGCACGATAAACACGAAGTATGGCGCTGAAACTACTTGTCTGAACGGTGCAGCATATCAATCGATATGACTAAGCTAGAATCTAGGAGAGAAGTAAACGTCATGCGTACGGACGCATTCAGAGGCCTCTGAATACGAAGTAAGTTTTGGCATGAAGTGAGTTAATGGTATTCTTAGTCTATGGGAAGTAAGACGATTTGATGTAGAGACGTTTGCGAGGAATTCCAGTAATGCAACTAAATGCATCTGAACATCGTTTGGAGTCAGACGAGTGTGCTGCTCACCACATATGGGCTACCCTACTATGATGATAATCATATTCATGGTCACGAGTTTACCGCCGTTCGCTATGTTGACGCTGCATAAGCTGTTGATGAACTATGATGGAGGTTATTCATAGAATCTTGGTTTGCTTTCTAAGAGTCTTAGCTGTGAATGCTGTTGTCATGGTCTGCAAATCACACGTAAATACAACCAAGGAAGAGGATTTAGAAAGTTACAAATATGTCTTGGAAAACCACAGAGTTTTGGTATATACATTTGAAACACAAAGAAAGAGCATTTTCAGGGAATTAAGGATATATATATATATATATATATATATATATATATATATATATATATATATATATATATATAGCACTACCTTAATGACGCAATTATACACTATTGTTCAATGTTTTTGATATATATCAAGAGTATAACTCATTTTTATATGCCACCGAACTTCTCACGAATAAAGATGCGCTTGTTTATGTGAAAGTCTGCCATGCTTCCCTCTTCATGACGTACACTCACTTTTTAATACAACACCTACAACCTGGTGATTGAGAAAAGAAAAACAGCCCACAGAAATCATATCCTAAATTACAACGCCGATTACCTGTCGAAAAATAAAAGTTGTGTAAATACCAAATATCGACATGCAGACACACTGAAGAAAAGCAGAATAGAGGAGATCTCAGGAAAGAAAAAGCATTAGCACGGAATGTTAGAAATCACCAATATACAGATAATTAGATTGAATTCTCAGGAAAAAGGACACTAACAAAAACAAAAGTAACAGCAGTAAATTACAAAAGACATCAAAACGAGGCGGTCAATATAAAAAGCAGCAGGAAGTGATAAATACATATACGATTAGATACTGTCTCTAACCGTTTAGAAATATGTCAGCCTGGATATGCCATTACCATTCAAAAGTCGGCCAATGTTCAGTCCGAGACCAAAGGAAAGCCTACCTAATCTTAGCTCCTCATCCTCCGTATATTACTTTAACTAATCCTGCGGAGCTATTCACATAGGAAGCGCGATTAGGCAGGTGCGTTTCCGGATACCAGAGCATTTACCACCTTCTTTCGGAAAGGACGTAGTGAGTGGTGAAAATTTTAGTCCTAGGGCACCTAGTCCACACAGGGCATCACGTAGATGTTAATAAAGCTTTCAGGATCATTTATTGTGTTCCGTAAACGACACCATGTATAGTTCGCCAATACCTACTCAACATAGCAGAGGTTGTCGCAATAAGTTTGATCAGGCCTGAACTCTGCAATTAGAAAGAACATGTCTAAGCGTCACTTTTTCCTTGGCCTTCAGCTAACTAAAGGCCACTCCTGCCATCTCATTCGTAATCTTTTCGTTTCACCGCCATATCAGTTTTCTGTATATCGATCTTTCCAATATTGACTAATTTAAAAAGATAGGTCGATTTCCTTCCATTCTCTAGATCTCACTCCATCTGAAAACGTAACTGTCCATTACATGGCTTGTTTTTCGCTGCACAAAAAGAATATTCTTCCTTCTGGTTGTTGTTTTTTGTAAATATTATGGAGATTTTTAGTTGTTTAAATCCTCATGAGGAACACTCTATGAAGGGAAGTTAGAATTAGCTCAATTAGCTAGAAGAGGAAGTTGCGCTACCGCAAGCAAACTTGGATATCACCCTAACGGGTGCGTAGCAATGTATTCCATATCGCATAATGGATCGCACACAACATTTTAGCTGATCATTCCATATCCCAGCATACTGACATTGTCGGACAAATACGTATCTATACGGCTGTAAAATTCCTTTTTGGTAAATGTTCACTAGTTGGCGTCAGACGCCCACAACTAATTTGTTGTTTCTCTGAAAATACATCCAGATAATTTGCACAACCTTGACTATGTAACCTACCAGATGAGTCTACGGTAGTCAGCAAAACAGTATATCCATCTGATGTTCCGTAAACGGTCGATGGAGTGGAATGTAGAAAATCATGAACAACCCCAAATAATGGTCACCAAGTGCAGCTACGCTGAAACTTATGTGCATCAGACAGCTCGATAGTGCAATGAAGTTTTTTCAAGCTGACATTATGATGTACCTTGCGAGTAAAAACACTTGTGCTGTAGTGTCACAAACTTCACCAAAAGCAATAGCTTAGGGTTTGACGACTTTCGACATTCATGCTGACCTTGATAGTTTAACTGGACTCGCTAAGCTGAAGGCACCTGGTCAAGCATCCTCCCATTTGGCACGCTGTCGTGTTACATTGCGTTGCTCGTATTCGACTCTTCAGCCAGTTAGTTGGAACACATCGGTATCTTGGCACAACCATCCAAATATGCTATTCCATCCGACTACGCTATCGTGTCTTTCCTTGGTCTCGTACTCGTGGGTATATAACAGGTCCAAATAATTAGTGATTGGTCTTCGTGTCTGTCAAGTTCGCACCAGGACAAATCCTAAATTGATGAGCCCGACCTGATCAAATATCCAGACCAATAGCAAATATTGAATTAATAAGCCTGTTCAGCTTTGTATCTGTATATTGTTTTCATTTCAGTAACATTTATATATACATTTACTACACTTTCTCATGTCCGATCACACTTCCAAGCCTATTCGTATTAAGCCGACTACGAACACGATCCAACTCGTGCCATATTGGCCAGGCAATGCAGAAACATGGCTTCTGTATGCCGAGGCCGATTTTCGAGAACAGGGCGTCTCAGATCTTCATTCTCGATTTCTTGCTGTCATACGGTCACTACCGCGAGAATTGAACAGGTATGTTACAGCACACATGTTTAATCCTGAAGTAGGTGATCCTTATGCACCTCTCAAGGCTTCGCTCTTGAAGAAAAACGATCTCACAGATCGCCAGCGCTTAGACGAATTACTTCGTAACATCGGGCTAGGCAGCCACTCAGCCACTGAAGTCCTCGCATGCATGCGAGAAGTAATCGGTGCACGAACATTCGACGATGGTTTCTTCCGAGAACTATTTCTTTCGAAACTACCACAACCGGTACAGACCGTGTTGGTGACACTGTAGTCAGTCACACTCGATGACCTGGCGGCCTTGGCAGACAACGTATATTCTGTCTGCGGCAAACCAGAGAGCCAGGATTTTGGGGTGACCAAGCTGTGCAACTCTGTGAAATGGTTGCTACGATCTCGAAGTCCTAGTTCACGTAGAACTCCACAGAAACGCATCTTAGTGCATCGCAGCAACTCACGTGGTTGCCCAAGAACTAAACCTTACAGGTGGGAAAACCCGAAATGGTACTGGCTTCATATTACTCAC